ATATTGAAATTTAACTCAACTTTTATAATTTTAATCTACCTATGAAAAAAACTTAAATTACCGAATTTGAGCCCATTTGATCCCGTATAAGAAGATATTATATCCTTACTAATACAAGTGTCATAAGTAACTCTCTGTCTCTTCCGTTTTTTATTGCTAAACGACTAAACCGATTTTGAATGGGATTTGGTATGAAGATAACTTGAACCCTGGACTAGGCCAGAAAAATAAAAGTTAAATGGCTTTATAACACGGACCAAAATTAGTTTAAAAATTTGTAAAAAATGTTCTTACACACAATGTAATTGTGTAAATATACCTATATAATAATGTTAAATATCATACCAAGATGTTAATAAAATGTATTAAATTGTCTATCTATTGTTCAAACATAAATAATGCATAAGTAATTTTATATTTTATTATCTATATAGCTAGGTGCTATATTAATAATAATCGTTCTGTATAACTACTAAATTCTACTTCAATGAACTCGTAAAATATGTGACTACGTTGTAGCACATACACAATTAAGGTTACATTTGTATTAAAAAGTAACAGTTTTATCATTGAACAAGAAACGAGTTCTCAGTGTAATTACAGTGAAAAAATGTCTTTTGTGCTTTTATATATAATACGTCTGTACTTTGTATAGTATGGGGGTGTATACATTAACGATTACTTTCCGAAGGACTTCAAAACACTATTGTTGGAACTTTACGTAAATCTAAATCTTATTGGATTTTGCCTGTATGGTAGTTATCTATTGGTACTCATTAGATAAGTTAATTGTTAACATGCATATAGTTAATTTATTTTTCTAATACGATTTAACTGTCTTAATTAAAATTGCTAAGTTCAAGATTAATTTGATAATATATAGGACTAGGTATAAACTTTCAATTACTAATTATACTGGAATTAAGCCTGTTTAGCCGATGCGGTTTACCGTCAGCCTTGTCCTCGACTATCTAAAACGAAATTTTGATCTATATTTAAAATTCAATGTTATCCATAACGGTAATAATTATTATATCCATGTATAATAATAATAATATTATTACTATTAGCATGTGACATTGAACGGATCATGTCTGTATAGGTACTTAAAACGAAGAAAAAACGATTTTATAATAGATATATAGTAATACAGTATTAGGTAATAAGTATCACTATTACCAGTACTTTCCGAAGTTTTATATGTGTAAAGTGTATATACTTATTATAATATCATTATGATAAGAGACAGTATTTGTATGTTTTTAAAATTATTAGAATAAGATGTTTTTACATTTTACTCTTATTCGGTATATTATATGAAAACACATCAACTATTCATTTTTAAATAAAAACTCACGTTTTTAAATTTAAATTCGAAAAGAAATAATATTTTTCTATATATGTGCATATCCATTGTACTATAATAGCGAATATTCATATAATATAAACTGTTTATTAGTTTGATGTTAATAATTAAAATTAACATTAACTGCAATTATTACAGTTTAACGTGTAGACCAAAGGAGTAGAAAAGGGCAATAAATTTAATATCCATGTCTGGTCACATCAAATTTCCTTATATACTCCTTTCCAGCCAAAATGTTTAGCTGCAGAACTATAACCCATAAACAGTATAATCCAATATTAGTGTAATAAATATTACAATATAGTATTATATCAATATTATTGAAAATCAAAAGTTTCACGAAATTTAGAAACCCAAACAGGTAACGATAAACGGAAAATTGTTATTTCTAAATAAAATAAATCAATTTTAATACCCGAATGCAACGCCTGGTTACATTACATTTACTTATTAGCTATCATAATATTGTTGTACATTGATTATGGAAAAATATATATAGCTTGTGTTCAGTCTAATAGTTGTGGTTAGTATACAACACACATAAAGGCTGCTGCTAATGTTTATAATAACACCATAGTCAAATGAGTTAGCTTTCATATATAGAACGCGTACCATAATGTTAACAGGTCATTTACTTTCCAAATAGCACGTATTCTCTCTTACGTCACACTTTACAATATCATAATATTATTAGTATAGTCATTGCCATCGATACACAATATTTTTATAATTATCGTGAATATATATTGTGCATAGGTAAACATAAAAATTGTAAACACTTATTAGAACAATAGGTATAGGTATAGTGAGTAGGTACAGTGTTAGATAGTGGCTAATGTATTAGGTGGGACGTTTAAAAAGTAAAGGATATAGAGTAATGGAATATAGGATTTATACATAAATAAATAAATACAGTGAAAGCAACAATAAATCATTGCAAACAAAAAACGATTTCGAGCGGAGTAGTATATTAGTCATACTCATGGTTTTTCCATTGTAGCCAAGATAACTCAGAAATCAAATCTATGTATCGTCATTTATTATCGATTTTTTAAAATTGTATAGGAAAATTGAAGGAAACAGTGCTGTAGCCAGGGAGGTAAGTGGGTTATAACTTAGAAACTTGAATCATCAAAATGTCTTCTAAATTCTATAGTTATAATATATGTAAAGTTATTATGTAAAGTATGTAAATAATGTAAAGTAATTCACCGTTTTTTCGAATTTCCCACGAAAATAGAGACTGTATAACGTTCGTTATATATAATCCTTTTCCATTTATTTTTGGACACTTAGCAATCTTCTCTAAATAAAATAGGTCCATACTTGGAAATTAGAACTATTTAAAGACAGATTAAAGTGGTAAAAGTTAGTTTGAATTTCAATATAAACTTTATACCATGTTGTCGCAGAAGTTGTTTGTATTTTAGCTTTGCATACCCATACAAACTCCTCAAATGAAACGATACAATTTTGTACATGAATAACGTGAATTTCAATGATATGTCTTTTAGAAGCTTTAACTTTCAACCTCTATTTTAAAATTTGAAGGGTTTGAACCTCCAAAACCCTTCCTCGCGTATAGCCTTGCACTAGTTGAAAAATCTGTCTTCTAAAATACGATTCAAAAAATTTGTATCATTTTTACTATAAGGTAACCAAGTGTTTTCTGATTTTTTTAATTCATATAAGACACACATTTATGATGAAAATATATTGGGGTTAAGAGTATATTAAGAATATACTAATCCTAATCGCCCCTCCCTCCCAGATCCACCACTTTCAGTCGGTTTGTGTACAATCTACTGCAACCTAATCTATCGCACGCAGAGGTCTATAAATTTACTAACATACAAAAGCAAATATTTTCATGTACCTACACTTCATAGCCGAATTTTCGAAATTCAATCCTTAAAGGATTAAATTTTTGGAATGAAAATTTAATTTTTTCATTTTTTTTATTGTGAAACTTAAACTAAACTTTGTCAAACAGATTTCACATAACAATAGAAAAGCGCATAGATAATAATATAACATTTATGGGGTAACACGGATGAAATAAAAAGGTAGACAAAGATGAACAATAGACACAGGATTAAATAGGTATGACCAATGCCGGGCATCACAGCTAATATTATGGCATTCTATAGAATAAATAAGTATATCCATTATATATTATGAATTATTACAATTTTAAACATTTAATACTAAATTCAAAGTAAATCCTGTAAATCAGCAACCTGCAATACTATTTTGGTATTTTAAAAAATGTATATTTAAATTTTAACTAGCCCTAAATAAGTTTAAACCGATATATTTATACGATAAACCATTAAATAATAGTTGTATATTACTATGATTAAATAGGCCTCTGAAACTCTTATATACACAATGTAACACGTTAAATTAAATTTTATTTTTGATTGATTTTGATCGGCATGGTCAATGCCAGGCAGGACAATAATATCATATGCTCAACTGAATTGTATTTTTATTAATGATGTGGTATAAATTGTTATATAATTATATAATAAATAATAGTTTTACAAAAAACCAGTATATTCTATAAATTTTTACCTATTTGTATATAAATAATATTATGTAGTGCGTAGGTGCAAGAGCGAAGTACTTAATCAAGGTTATGTTTTCATAACAATTTGTTTATAAAATACAGTAGGTATTATTTGTTAATTAAATCATAAAATACTTTTCGGGGTCGATCATAAAGTGATATAATTATAGAAATATAATACCTACCTATGTTAAAAAAAAAAAAAAAACAATATTTTATTGTTTTATCGTGTTGAAGGATAAAATAATGAAATCATTACGAATTATAATAATATTATAATCAATTAACAGAAATATTAAAATTAATTTGTTTAGTAAATTTCGTAAAATAATATGAGGTATTTATTTATTTATTTATGATTACAGTCTTGCGCCCAAGATATCAACATATTTACAAAAAAATTACAAGTTAAGCATAAATATAAAACTGGTTCGAAGAAAAGAAAGTGTTGGATTAAGATTATTAGAAATATTAAGAATAGAAGAGGGAAGGATTAGTATTAGCAATATACTTAAGGCAGATAATAGATTCATTGAGTCCGTAATTAGTAGAATGAAAAGGAGAAGTAAAAATTTAAGTACAGCGAGTAATACGAGCAGGGATAAAAAAGTTGAGTTTATAAAGTTAGAGTAGGTAATCAATGTCACTGGACAAGAGATTCTGCAGAAACGCGAAATGGCAGAATGTCTGCGGTCGCCTGAGCTTACTAGATTAAGTTTACGAATGACAGGGTTATAGACATGTGCCCTCCACACGTGTTCAATTTTGAGTGGGAAAGCTTGCATGCTTAAGAAATATAAAGTATATATATATATATATTACCTATATATTCTTATTACAGTATATCTTATCTTATCTTACATATATATATATTGACTATTGAAAGTTGATGCTGATACGGTTACTTTTTTTTGTTGGAAAAACTGAAAAAAATTACGTGGGATAGACTATGCCAATACTTTTACAATAAGCTTTTTGCAAAATAACGGAACGTAGGAAAAGAAAAAAAAAACCTGAAATAATTTTAAATTTTTTATTTTTCGTTATTCATAACCGATCTGGGTAGAGGGCGCCTGAAACCAAAGTTAGTTCTATCCTAATATTTAACTTTTAGATGAAATATTTTCAAATATACTCTAAAACTGTAAAATTTGCAAACACACGTGCAAAAGTCCGTTTTTAAAAAATATCGTATTTTATATTGTATAGTGGAGCGAGAAATGTATTTGTTTTACAATGATGTTTATTTTTTTTCCCTGTCGACAACTTTTCTACCAGCGGTTTTGCTTCGATTGATACAATGATAGCACTTTTTCTAAAAAGAAATCTGACTGGAGTAGTACTTTAGGGAGGGCATTGTTTTATTTTCCCAAGAGTTTTCCAAAAAACCCGGGAAAACCTAAGAAAAACAGAAAAATTGGTACAATATATGGGAAAGAAATCATATGTAATTATTTTACCATAATATGACATATATATATTGCTGACAAAGTAACACTATCAACCAAACTCCGCTCAGAATCGTTTTTTCGTTAACAATGCTTAATTGTTGCGTAGGTACAGATATACATTGAATTTTCCCTCTACTACCTACCCAACTTCACGCCTACAACAGTTACCCATCCACATGAGAAATATGTCCGTTTTTTTTTAAATTTCATATACTTATGACAACTGCTAGCTAGGATGTGCAAACATGTGCATAAACGACGACGTGGACGATGTAGGAGACGTCATTTAATGTAAAAATTTATATGAGCAAGGTGGCTGACCCCACAAATATACACAGTTGAGAATATAAACGAAGAAAAAGAATAAAATAACCGAGTTTATTCATTAATCAAATTGTACTCCGGAAGAGCAATTCCGAGGACAAATATCACGATAAATAGAACGAAAAAAAAGTCATACTTTGTACTACCTGTAAATATATATATGTATACATACATATCTATTGAATAGATTTCGTACAATAACGTGTATATTATAAATATATTTTTTTTATACAGGTATTTAAACATTTCCTACATTTTATAGATAGGTTAAAAGTTTGATTATCTGCAACTATAACGGATTACCAGTTAATGACATTGTTCCTCGGTAGGTAATTTTTTTTTTTTTTAATGCTTTGATAAATTATATTATACTTATAGAATATAATATGTACGTGCACTTTTTTTTTTTTTTTTTTTTTTTTTTTTTTTATATATATA